GTCAGCCAGTGTAGAGGGAATCCACTTCCCGGTGCTCCTCCCCCCACCGTCAGCCAGTGTAGAGGGAATCCACTTCCCTGCTTGAGAAGCCCACTGGCTTTGCTTCACGCGGAGAACTCCAGCCCCTCTCTTCATTCATTTCACACACCTTCTGAAGTGTCTCCTGTGACACCGTCCAGGTCACAGCACAGAACCGAGCAAAGGTCCCTTCCCTAGAGGATCCTACATGCCAGTGACCAGCCTCCTTCCTGTTCCCACCGCGGGCCTTTGTGCTTGTTGTCCCTCTGCCCTCAGCTCCTTCCCACATCCCTGCGTTACCGACCCCACCCGTTTTATTCTTTCCGTCCTCTTCAGAACCTGGACACAGCAGGGGCGGGGGCTTGCTTGCTCATGTGTCAGATGTGTGTGTCCCTGTCCTGTGAGCTCCTTAAGGTCGTCAGGACCTGCCAGGCCTTGCTCCTGCTCATTACTGTGCCGCCCAGTCCCTGTGACCTGTGGGCCCTCAGGAAGCATATGTGACGTGTCTCCTGATACTGGGATTTCATGGCCCCAGAGAAGACCTGTGCCGTGTGTGTGTATGAGAGAGAGAGACCCCCCCCCCCACCTCCAGGTGATTTTCCAGTTCCTGGACTGGGTGGATGACCAGACACTGCCCTAGGTGACCTTCCTTAGACCTCCTTTTCCCTGAGTGTGAAGGCAGCGTTAGATGGGGACCTGCAAGTAGGGAACTCTGAACTCCCTTCCCAGCCCAGATCACATATCACCTCTGCCTACTTTGTCCTCTGTCAGGGCAAGGGTTGGGGGTCCCAGAGAGGCTCTGAGCACTGTGGGTCCAGGGCTGACGGGATGCCTGCCCTGCAGGTGGTGCAGCTGAAGGCGGTGTTCCCACACGGTGCAGGCTTTGTACTGGCCTTCGAGTTTATGCTGTCAGATCTCGCTGAGGTGGTGCGCCACGCCCAGAGGCCACTGGTCCAGGCACAGGTCAAGAGCTACCTGCAGATGCTGCTCAAGGGTGTCGCATTCTGCCATGCAAACAACATCGTGCATCGGGTCAGTCTCGGCATGGGCTGCAGCGGGACCTGTGGGGCCAGCCCTTGAAGAAGGTGGGGTCAGAGGGGACAGGACCTGTGGTGTGGCCACACCGCAGAGTAAGTGGCCCCAGAGAGGGTGGGGGCCTGGGCTGACCCATGTACTTAGCCTGCCAAGCTCTCCTGTCCCAAGGTCCTCTGGGGGATCTGGAGGAACTGATGCCTCCTTTGGTGTGCTCAGGACCTGAAACCGGCCAACCTGCTCATCAGTGCCTCAGGCCAGCTCAAGATAGCGGACTTTGGCCTGGCCCGGGTCTTTTCCCCAGATGGCAGCCGCCTCTACACACACCAGGTGGCCACCAGGTAGGGAAGACCAGTTCCCAGGCAGGGCTTGGCAATGGACAGGCCTCAGCCTTCTCTCTGGGGATGAGATGCCTCTGGACCTTCAGTTCAGACATAGCTTGTGGGGCTGGGGTGACCTCTCCGGGCAGCCTTCTGGCAGACCAGCGACCTGGTTGTGACTGCCCGCCCTCCTCCTCACAGGTGGTACCGAGCCCCTGAGCTCCTGTACGGCGCCCGCCAATATGACCAGGGCGTTGACCTGTGGTGAGGCCCCTGTGGGCTGGGCGTGGGGGAATGTGGGTTATGGAGTCACCTTTTTCTCCTGGGCTTTGGGGTTGCTAAGCCATTTGGGGGGGGTGTCTTCCTGCTGTGAACTATAGGTTGCCTTGGGGGTGTCTTCCCTGGTTGGGGTACCTCTGAGGAGTTTGGAGTCAGTTTTCCTCTCTTTGACATTTTTGAGCTGGGTGGGGATTAGGTAATCAGAGTGGGAAGCTTCTGGGCTGGAGTGCGGGAGGTGGTCAGAGGCTCCAGGCATATGGGTCATCTACATTAGTGGACAGGGGGTTGCATATACCCCACGAGGTGAGCTATCTAGAGGCCTGGGTCCCTGAGTGTGAAGGCTCTGAGCCTTTATTTGGGGTAGGATGGTTTGTTTGTACATGCCTAAGAGCTTGAGATGTAGGGGCTGTTTTGGATGTCTGCCCCAGAAGGTGAGGAGTGTGAGGTGGTGGTTGTGTGTCCCAGAAACTAAGACTCTGAGAAGTCTCAGAACTATTGAGGATGTTGCTTTGTTTTCTAGGGTTGAGGCCAGTGAGCTCTTTGGTAGGGGAATATGTTCTATGTTTTAGGCTTGTGGTCTTTATTTACGAATCTGTATTCCTAGATATGAAACATCTGTGCTCTTTTGTGGTTCCTTGGCCCCAGTATGGGGTGTGGGTCTATGTGGGAAGATCTGTGTCCTTAGTGGGAGGTGACGGAGCTGGGAGTGGGCAGATCTGTGTCCTGGTGTGAGGTGACGGAGCTGGTGTGGGCAGATCTGTGTCCTAGGGTGAAGTGATGGAGCTGGTGTGGGCAGATCTGTGTCCTGGTGTGAGGTGACAGAGCTGGTGTGGGCAGATCTGTGTCCTGGTGTGAGGTGACGGAGCTGGTGTGGGCAGATCTGTGTCCTGGTGTGAGGTGACAGAGCTGGTGTGGGCAGATCTGTGTCCTGGTGTGAGGTGATGGAGCTGGTGTGGGCAGATCTGTGTCCTAGTTGAGGTGACGGAGCTGGTGTGGGCAGATCTGTGTCCTGGTGTGAGGTGATGGAGCTGGTGTGGGCAGATCTGTGTCCTGGTGTGAGGTGACGGAGCTGGTGGGGGGAGATCTGTGTCGTGGTGTGAAGTGACTGACAGAGCTGGCGGGGTGGGGGGGGAGATCCGTGTCCTGGTGTGAGATCTCTTGAGTTCTTTGTGTCTGTATCCACAGGGCTGTGGGCTGCATCCTGGGGGAATTGCTGAACGGATCCCCTCTCTTTCCTGGGGAGAACGATATTGAACAACTTTGCTGTGTGCTTCGAATCTTGGGCACCCCCAGTCCTCAAGTCTGGCCGGTTTGTAGGGCTTCCCAGTGAGGAGGGGGTGGGGGCAGGTATCCTCCCTTACCCCCAGTAGCCAGGACCGCCCTTTCCTGCATCTTTTCCTTGTGGCCCTACACCTCCTTGCCCTCCCAGACCACTGTCCTGGCCTCCCTCCGGGGCTTCTCCCTTTCTGCCCTGCTGGGTGCCTGAGGCCAGGTCCTGTCCCTTCCCTCCCAGCACACTTGCACTTCTCACCAAGCTGGGTATGGCGCAGGTGCCTGAGTTGGGGAGGGGATGTGGGATTTCAGGAGCGACAGTGGGAGCGGGAGCCGTGGATGAGAGTGAGCAGGTGGGTAATAGCGAGCAAGAACTGATGACAGTGGTTCTAGGAGATCACGGAGCTGCCCGACTACAACAAGATTTCCTTCAAGGAGCAGGCGCCCGTGCCCCTGGAGGAGGTGCTGCCTGACGCGTCTCCTCAAGCCTTGGACCTGCTGGGGCAGTTCCTGCTCTACCCTCCACGCCAGCGCATCTCAGCCTCCCAGGTAGCTACGGTTGACCCGCTTTTCCTGACCCTCCTCGGGTCCTGCAGCCCCGAGGTTGAGGCCCCTCAGGATCTGTGGTGGGCTGGAACCAGAGCCTGGGGGGTCACGGGCAGGTCAGGGGGCCCATACCCACCTTGCAGAAGAGCACATCTGGGTTTTCATTGACTGGCTTTTTCATCCCTTCAACAAATACTTACTCTGCATCGGCAAATGCCCAGTATCATCCTGGGCCCTGGGGGTGGAGGGATTGGGACTGACTTTGGGGAAGTGCAGGTTTAAGCACGGGAGAAATGAGCAGAGGTCTGGCATGGGGGACCTGGAAGGGTGGGTTGTGTGGCCGGGAAGGAGGGGGGAGGACCATGGGCTGCTGGCCAATAGTGCCAGGGCCTCTATCTTGGGTGTACCTGTGTCCCCAGCCTCACGGCCACTGTCCCCTCCCCCACTCTCAGCACTGGCATGCCCCCTGGGGAGTTCTTACATCATCAGCACCTCTAAAGCGGGCTGAGGTCATCTGACTGCTTCCCTCAGTCTGAGCCCCTGCACACTACCCCCCTCCACCCCTCACCCTGCCACTGCCTGCTTCTGCCCATTCAGTGTGTCCTCCGCTTGGCAGGCTGGCTCATACCCCCCGCAGGGCTCTCCTGTGACCCCCTCTCAGAGCAGAAGCCCAGGTCCTAGGGGCCCACGGGTGTCACACACTTGGAGCCATCACCTCTGGGGCCCTATCAGCTCCTGCCCCTTTGCTCATTCTCCCCTGGGCTCCAGGTGCACTCTGTCCTTGGGCCTCACCCCTGCACCTCTCAGCTCTTTGCTGGAGTACCGCTCTGCAGGCCTGCAGTTTCTCCAGCATCCCTCACCCCCTTGTTGTCTCTGCACCCTGTATCTTCTTTATCTTGGTCACTCGCACCCCTGACTCGTGGAAGACTTCATGAGGGCAGGTTCTTTGATCTGCCGGCCTCTGGAACAGTGCTCAGATGGTGAGCACTCAGAGGTGCTGTGGGAGTGAGCCTCGGGAGGGCAGTGTTCAGATCCCCCCTCAGAGGGAAGTGAGCTGAGGTGGGGATGGGGAGGTGACTGATTTCCTTCTGCTGTCCCTTGCTGCCCCCAGGCCCTCCTGCACCAGTACTTCTTCACGGCTCCCCTGCCTGCCCACCCCTCGGAGCTGCCCATTCCCCAGCGCCCAGGGGGACCTGCCCCCAAGGCCCACCCAGGGCCCCCCCACGTCCATGACTTCCATGTGGACCGGCCTCTCGAAGAGTCACTGTTGAACCCGGAGCTGATTCGGCCCTTCATCCCAGAGGGGTGAGACGCTGGGCCAGCCCTGCTGTCCTGCTCCCCAGAGCCCCCCAGGCTTCTTGTACTTCTGCTTAGCCTGACTCAACCTCCCATGGCCTCTACCCAGCCACACTTGTTCCACTCCATGCCTGGTCCTGCTCCCAGCCAGGTGATGAGGACGTCCAGCTCCAGCAGAGGAAACCTGCAGCTTGCACTGTCGGTTTCCCATCTGTGTGTTGCTGACTTACCCATCAGAGGGAGACAGTGGGCTCCAGGGCTGTGCCTGCCATGGTCCTGGTTCTCCAGGCCCGTCCTTCCTGGTCAGGGATGGTCCTGGTAGAGCCATCTAGGGGAGTGCAGAGTGTAAGATGTCCACACGTTGAAACACAAGTGGGAGGGCAGGTTTGTTTTGGTTTTGTTTTCAGAGGCATTAAAAGCAAGTTCAGTTTCAAGATTTATTATGAAAAGCCCAGGTAGTCCTGCGTGGTGTCTGCCCCTCTTCCATTGCTGTTGAGGGAAGTGGCATTGATTCCTGGCTTCTGCTTCTCTGTGGTCACCAGGGAAGTGACCCCAGTCATGGCTACTCTGGTCCTGGGGGCTTCAGACAGTGAGGTGGCAGAAGTCAAGCCCAGGGCTGGCTCAGGTTGGGGGTCTCAAGTCGGTTTACCAACATCTCTACCCTCAGGATAAGGGTGAGCCAGGACCAGATGTGTCACCTCCTTACTCAGATACAGAGCAAGTGAGGAGACAGGCATTCCTGGAACTCATGTCTTAATTTAGTAAATCCAAATACAAGCCAAAGCAGCCCTTGTTTGTTGTTTAATAAAGATTTGATAAGCCGTTTCTACAGTATGTATGGAAATAAAAGGGTTAAGAGAAGGCAGCAGAAGAGGAAAAGGAGGGAAGGACTCACTCTGTTAGACCTAAGACTTACCGTAGGGCTTAATAATTGGGACAGTGCAGCCTTCGTTCAGGAAGAATTAAAAACAGCAAACTTAGCAATCTTTTGTGCTTCGTGTGGATAAACTTATGTGAGCACTGAGGACAGGTCATTTCCCTCCAAGCTCCTAGGCACATGCAAAACAAGGCAGACTCATTTGTTGCTTTCAGGGAGAAGCTGATGTTTGAGGCATGTGTGCTTGTTTCTCCAGCTACATCTTCTGTCAACTCTAAGCTGCAGTCTGGTTACCTTCTGGGAGCTCTGAGCTCCGAATAAATTCGAGCTTGTACCCACAGGTCTACCACTGACTGTGACCTTGAATGTCAAGGTCACAGTAAGGCTGGGTGTCACGGCCAGGGTGAAGTTCACTGTGAGGGTTACGGTGCCAGGGTCCGGTGAAGGTAGGGGTTTCGGGTAGGGTAGATGGCAGATGATAGCAGAGTTGAGGGTTAGAAGCAGGGCGAGGTTGGAGGGGAGGGGAGGGGTCAGGGTCAAGGTAAGAGTGAGTGTCAGGACCAGGGACGGCCCGACCCTGGTAAAGGAGAGGACCTTGGCAAAGGACACGATGAGAGAGGGTAAGGGGTGGGGCTGGAATGCAGGACAGGGCACGTTTACTGGCAAGGGTGAGGGCAACGGCCAGGGCTGGGGAGGTGCCCGCCTCAAGGTCCCCGTCGTGAGGGTCAGTGCAGGGGTGAAGGTCAGGGCGAGGGCCGAGAGGGCGGTCAGGGGCAAGTGGAAGGTTGGGGAGAAGCGGGGCAGACTGGCTACTGCATAAAGCGGAGAGCTGGCTGAACAGGATTGACTCAGAACAGCAGGAAAGTTGCCGGCTGGGCGTAGTCTGCGGGGCGGAAGCGCCGTGAGATGGGCGGGGTTTGGTTGAGTGGAGCGAAAGTGCGGCGGGGTGGGCGGGGCTTGGCCTGCGGGCCCAAGAGCCTTGAGACGGGAGGGGTTCGGCCTACGGGGCGGAAGTGAGGTGGGCTGAGCAGGGTTTGGTTGAGTGGAGTGGAAGCGCGGGGGGAGGCGGGCGGGGCTCGGCCTGAGGGGCGGAAGGTGGCGGAGTGGGCGGAGTTTGGCGGAGTGGAGTGGAAGCACCGTGGGATGGGTGGGGTTTAGCTGAGTGGGACGGAAGCGCGGTGGGGTACGCAGGGTTTGGCTGAGCAGAGTGGAAGCGCGGTGGGATGGGCAGGGTTTGGTTGAGCGGAGCGGAAGCCTGGTGGGATGGGCGGGGTTTGGCTTGCAGGGCGGAAGCGCGGTGGGATGGGCGGTGTTTGGCCTGCGGGGCAGAAGCGCGGTGAGGTGGGCGGGGTTTGGCCCGCCGGGCGGAAGCGCGGTAGGATCGGTGGGGTATTGGCCCGCTGGGCGGAAGCGCGGTGAGGTGGGCGGGGTTTGGCTGAGAGGCGCGGAAGCGTGTGAAGAGGGGCCGAGGCGGCGGTGAGAGATGGAGCCGCAGCTTGGACTCCACGAGTTGCTGCACGTTTTCTCCTTCCTGGAGGCCCGAGACCTGCTCTCCGCCGCCCAGGTGGACAAGGTAGCGTGCTCTGTCCGGGGCGGAGGCAGGGCCGGCTTTATGGTCCCTGAGTGTTCACGTCTGGCTCTGCTTTGGGTTTGGTTCCCCATTTGGGAGGCGGCTTCAGGCGGCCCTGATGCCGTGGTTGGCAGAGCGCTCTTGGCCCCCGGGGTGGTGACCTGGGCGGCTTTTGTGGGGGCAGAGCCCAGAACCCTGCTCGGTTCGCCTGCAGCGGGCGCCCTGCCATCAGGCTTCAGAGTTAAGATGGGCATGGGCACCGGTTTCCTTGCACCTCCCACTTCTGGAATATTCTGGAACTTTCCTCTTGGGGCCTGCCTGGGAAGCCAAGATTTTCCTGTGAGTGGCACGTCTCCTGCGCTCAGGCCTCTCCACACCTGGAGCTTGGCTCTGCTTGCCCTGTGCCTGTTGAGTGCATCCGCCTGCACCTGCGCGGCCGCCCCCGTATGCACCTGCGCTGAGCTCGTCCTAGATCTGCACACAACTTCACTGAGGGTAGAGCGTTTTTATTTATCGTCTGCTTTTCTCATTACCGAGATGCATTACCGAGAGCAAGGATTTCTGTGTTTTGCGTCATTTGTCTCTAGCACCCAGTGAATTTGTTGGCACTTAGGCTAAACTCTGTAAATACTTGCTGAGTAAATGAGTTTCGTTAAGGAACCTAAAATACGTTTGTTAACCTTAGAAATGAAATTGCCAGTTATTTTACCAGCAAAAATGTGTTTACTTGGGAATAGCAGAGAATTGCAATTTGGGACAAGCAACTTAGAGTAAAATCATAGGCAGTCCAGAAAACAAAGGCCAGGCGGCTTTTTTATAGAGGAAGGTGGGGAAGGCTGTTGTAAACTAAACGTCCATTGGACTAAGTTGCGAGCTGGAAGTGTAGTGGCCTCTCGTTCGCTGGGCTGTTGCTGGGGCAGGAAATCTTCCTCTGGGATAGTAGTGTAGTAGCTAAACTAGTGTCAGTTTGCAATGTGCATCTCTTCCTGTGGGGTCTGCCCTTGTCAAGTGCTGTGGCTTGAAGAGTCCCCCCCCCCCCCCCCATGGTCTCCTAAGGTTTTCTTTATTAATTTTAATACATTATCATACCATTTTACAGAAAGATCAATAAGCAGATTTCTTTTTAGCAGATTTTTACTTGAATTCTATAACTCATTTAAAATGTGTCACGTAAAATACTGGGTTTTCATCCCTTTTTTACCAATAAGGAAACTGAGTATCAGGTAATCCCATACAGGCCTGGGTTTTCCCAGCAGCAGGCTAGGCATAGTACAGGGGCAGAGGTTGAAAGGAGGGTGACTTAAAACGTTGGAAAGCACCAGCTTCGCTGGGACATAGTTTCCCCCTTAGGTAAGATTAGGTCAGTAATTTTTGCCTCACCGTGTCATCCTGAAGGCCAGGATCTAACAGAGAGCCTCGAAGGTGGGGGAGGGGGGCATTTATCAGGTTATATTACACATTATACTTCTGTATTTGGGAAATAAGGTCTCAGTTGGGTTTTGAACCGGGAGATACAGAAAAGGAAAATGTGTAAATCTTCTTGCCTGACTTGGCTTGATTTTTGCAAAATATAAATTTTACTTTCCTTCCAAAAATACTGAAACTTTGATCTAGCAGATGACCAAGGGCTGTGGAAGTGGGGGCCTGGGCTCAGAGGAAGGTGGTTCCTTCTGTCATGGATCAGAAAGCCAGTTTCTGGGATGGGGCCTTCAGTGGAGCTGGACCACAGACAGCTCCAGAGTGGTTCCCACTGAAGCTGTGTGGGCTTCAGAATCCAGGCTGGCCTAGGCTGGAGAGGCCAGGGAATCCCAGGATGCAGCTGTGGGCCTGATGGAGGGCAGGCATGGCACTCTGGTCCCCTCCCGGGACTGACGCTGAGCCTCTCCCAAATGCAGGGGGCAGTTTGTGAAGCAGGGCTGACTGTGTGTCGTGTTCCCGCCCGTGCCCAGGTGGCTGTTGGTTCCACCATCTTGGCATCTCTGGGACATCCTCTAGGCCAGTGCAGCAGCCATTCTGGGGCCTGTTGCTTTGCCCTCGTTTCCAATTCTGACGGCAGCTAATGATCTCCTAAAACAAGTGTAACCCTTCCACTCCTCCAGCCACAGTCCCCGAATGGCTTCACACAGTTTTTTGCCAGTAGGACTTTGGCGTTTGCGTCTAAGCAGATCTCCAGCTCCTTTCCCCAGAACATTATACTCCTAATTATGGCAGAATACTCATGTTTTCACACTTCAGAATCTTTGCTCAAGTAGTCTTATCTCTCCCTAGAGTGCTTCAGACACTGGGGACTTGATCAGTAGTCACCTCTGAGCCCCTTGGCTCCACTGAGTTGGGCATTCTCTCCTTTCTCACTCATTTGGTTGTTTTTATTGCACTGTCCAAATAGGTCTCATTCCCCAGGGTGAATCTTCTTTCCTGCTGGCACCAAGTCTGATTTAGCTCTTTGACCCTTCTATAGTGTCCGGCAAGCTAGGCGCCGACTGCACGTTGACTGACCAGACATTGTCTTCTCTGCCCTCTTGTTCTAGGTCTGGAATGAAGTTTCAAGGACCAAGGAACTGTGGAGGTGAGTGAAGGAAAAGCCAAGCATGGTCAGGAGAGTGTCCCAGGAAGGTGAGGGGTGCACTGGATAAGTGGTCTGAGCACTGTGTTTCTGGCTTTGATGCATACACAAGAAAGGACAATCCACAGAACTTATTAGCAGGAACCCCCCCCCCGTTAGGCGTGTAATACTCTCTTTTTTTAATAGTATATTGAAATATAAGAGTTTTATTAATTGAGTGGGAGATTGATAAACGTCAGGAGTACCAAACTCAGGGGCAGAGATGTACAGCAAATGCATACAGCTGGCTGACAGAAGATAAATCAACAAACTACTTTTATTTGAACTCATCTTTGGTGTAACAACATAGCTGTATAAGCACATACGATATTAAAAAAAAAATAACATCGGGGCACCTGTGTGGCTCAGTCAGTTAAGTGTATACCTTTGGCTCACGTCCTGACCTCAGAGTTGCGGAAGGGGCTGGGGCTCCCTGCTCAGTGGGAAGTCTCCTTCTCCCTCTCTCTCTGTCCCTCCCCCCTGCTTGTGCTCTCTCTTGTGTACGTGCTCGCTCTCTCTCTCAAATGAATAAAATCTTTAAAAAAAATTTTGAAAATAAATATTTTAATCATTAATTTATAACATTTTTCTTTCTTATTCATTTTTCCTTTGGAGCCTGACTTCTTTTGTCCCAAGAAAGGAGTGTCATTGTCTGTCTCTTGCTGAATGTAAGACAGACTGTAGCCTTGACTGTCAGCGGAGCTGTATTTAGTTTTAGCCACTACAGCTGTGGTCACGTGAAGGCGCTGCCAAACATGGAGGGAATCTCTGCTTGATGGGTTTCGTTTTCAGGATAACTGTGCATTGAGATATTTGAGAATTCTAGAATGCCAGTGTTGCTGTATTTAGTGTTCAGTGTCTTACAGTATCTGTTGCTTTTCGTTCATTTGTTATTGCTAATGATACTAGTTAGAAAAATTATAATTAATATAATTTATAATATATTTTTAATATTAATTCTAATATTTAATTACTATTAAATTCTTAATATAAATATAAATTATATTAATCCCTGTAGTTTTGAAGAGAACTTTTGTTGGCTTTCTGTCTTTATCTATAGTTTGGGGGAATGTACTCCAGATAGAACACTCAGTTCTGGAAATTGATTTCTCTGTAGGGAGTGGACAAGATTATGTCTTGCCAAATATGATGCTCAATGACTTTGTGTCATAGGAAATAAATGAACTGACTCATGGGTTGGTGCGAGTATTTGTGGAAGACCTAGCAGAGCAGTATTCACGTGTTGGAATAGAGAGGTAGGATGCCAGCCGCAACCCTGGTCTTCATAGCTGATAGGCTAGGAGAGGAATTTCTGTTTGAGTGACAGGAGTAAGTTTCTTTCAGCTGTTCAAAAAATACCTTCAGTGGCTTATCACCTAACCTCCACACAGATGTCACACATTATCACGTGGTGCTTCTGATTCCTCAGGTAGATGGTTTGGCTTCTACAAGCCAGGTCACGAACAGGTTTCAGATCATTACTATTTCGTACTGTTTGATGCTAAATGTTTTTAACATAAAGTCATTCCTCAGCATTGTATCCTTGAACTGTGTTCTTATAAAAACAGTGGGTTTGTTTCTGGAGCTGGGACAACAGCATTTCAGGAGCATCGTCATCTGTGGTCACATGCATGTATCATTTCTGATGCTGTGTCTGTCATGGGTACGAGGCCCCAAAGTTCTCCAGGCCCACTAGAAATTCTTATGGACACAGCAAATGAATGTAGTTAATTGGTCATATATTTTTAATGTGTACTGTATAATTTTAATTGAGAATGCTGCAAGTTCCTTTTTTTAATGCCTCATGACCTTTTAAATTCTGCCTTCAACACACTAAACATTAAATTTTGGTTAGAAGTAAAGTTGCAAATATTTGCTTTTGTTTAAGGTACATAATTTCTATTGTGTACTGCAGATCATTTGTTATTAATTGCTATCTGAAAAGTTTTGGTATCACAGTATTTTTTCACTTGATACATTGAAATTCAGAGGGATATCACATACTTTATTCATATTCATACTTAAACCTTTTTGATGGTCTGCCTTTGTTTGTTTTTAAAGTAGGCTCCACATCCAGCGTGGAGCCTAACATGGTGCTTGAACTCACGATCCTGACATCAAGACCTGAGCTGAGATCAAGAGTCAGCTGCTTGACTGACTGAGCCACCTAGGTGCCCCAGTTTGCCTTTGTTTTTGTCAAATCATTTGTTTTTTCATTTCTTCTAAATTTTGGTCATGGGTCCTACTTAAGGTTTGTATAATGATGTGTAATGGCCTTAAATACTAGACTTTACTTCCACTAAGAAATGGTGCCTTCTCTTATTCTTAAGCCACATTATCTTCTTGGTCTAGCTTTCATTTTCACACTCTTTAGATTGAGATATGAGTACAAGAAATTTCTCTTCTTATTTCAACTGAAAACCAACAACATAAGGAATGGTGATATGAGGTAATTGACACTCGGTCTCATCTCCAGAAGATAAAAAAAAAAAAAAGAGATGGTGAAGCTGAGAGCTCGTTCTTATCTAAAGGGTACAGGCTTATGCAGCTCCAGACAGATTTTGTCAGGTGGGAATTTGGGTTCAGTATAGCCAGATCACTTGCCTTTTCCTGACTTTTATGTGAAAACTTAAGATTTTTAAGTGTGGCAGCTAGTCCATGTGGGCTAATCCTATGCAAGCCAAGCAAAATAATCTGGGGGTCCGTTTGGTGCATAGGCTTCCAGTATACTGCTTTTTTTTTTTTAAGTTGATTTTTTTTTTTTTAAAGATTTTATTTATTATTTGAGAGAGGTTGAGAGTATGAGTGGGAGGAGGGGAAGAATGGAGAAGCAGACTCCTGTGGAGCAGGGAGCCCCATGCAGGACTGGATCCCAGGACCCTGGGATCATGACCTGAGCCACCCAGGCTCCCCAGTATACTACATAGAAGGACCAGAGTTCCAGTAGGCACAGTAAAACCTTCATCCAACATGGGTGCTGGGTCTTACTCAGTGTGTTAGAAGGTTCCTAGAGCCTAGCACAGGGACTGATATGGAGGTGCTCAGTGAATGGAGAAGCTATGATGACTGTGTTGTACTTGTTGAGGCCATGGGCTGTGAGCCACGTATTTCCCACCTAACCTCATCTGTGTTCTCTGTGAGTTAGGAGTGCTAGGCTGGAGCCACACAATGCCACATCAGCTCTGTGGACTGTAAAATGCTGGTAGCATCTGCCCATGAAGCCTCCCTACCCCTCTCCCAGCCAGAAGTCCATTCTCTTTGTGCTCAGGTCCCATATCACGTGTTGCCTCTTCTGAAATGTCACGTTTCTCCCATGAACTTTTATTTTGCTTATTCTCCTAACCACTGGCTGAGAGTGCCTTGTGGTAAGAGCCATGTCTCACTCAACTTTGGTGCCCAAAGACTAGATGGAGAGTCCGTAGTTCTCTACAGTATGGATGAGCTAACATTTTTATTCTCAAAAACTTGATGAGAGAGGTGCTATCAGAATTGAGAGCAATCACATGGAAGCTCAGAATACAGGATCTTGGAAAATGGTGGATTTGAAAATTTTCTCCTCTATAAAAGCAATGAGAAAACTGACACAAATTGTCAAAATCAACTTTTTCAGAACTCTGGAAATTAACAAGAGACTTATAGTAGTCTAGGAAGTGTTCGTTCAAGAAAAAATATTTGAATCTTAGAACAGCAAGTTTTCTTGCCCTGTTGCCATAAACCTCTCCAGTTCTGTGTTAGCCTTGAATATCAGCAGCTCACGATCACAGTGAAACCAGGAGCCTGGCAGTCACTGGAGGGGGAAGAATGGGATTGGAGTCTCATTACCAGAGAATTGTCATTATTTGACCTGCTGGTATTTCTTGGGAGACCCCATGGGCAGACTTTTTATTTGGTCTGACTTGGAGTTCACTCAGTGTGAAAGCTTTTACTTTGGGACCTTTGTCAAAACAGTAACTGACAGTTGATTAACTTTGTGGCCTGTCAGAGCTGATGGACAGCAATTGAGCAAATAGTAGGCTAACCAAAAAGCTTGAAAACCTGAGAATGTGATGTCTTTAGGGGCTTGAGCTTTGAAAAGCCCTGACACTTTCCTAGGAATGTAAAAGCCCAGGCACATGTAACAGGGTGTGCACAAATTCAGGGAAGACCTAAGAAGGCTCTAAACTCACTTGTTTGGCTAACCGTGAGGTTCTATGCAAGTAGGAAGCGAAGGCTTGGGTATAGTTGTCAGCTGCCTTACTGAGTGTTGAATGCATTCCCCCGACATTCACAGGAGCCTTTTGGTGATGACCAGAAGACTTAGTAGTTCCAGGTATTTGGGGTATCCATGGCCAGTCTTAGTAAGCTCTAGTTTAAGCAGAGACTTCAGTGGCCATATGTAATAAAGAATGCAGGCTTTTCAGAATTTGTTCATAAATGTTACTAAACAAACAATAACAGTAAACAGCTGAAACAACAAACCCGGGGGGGGGTTCAGATTTCCAGAACTCCACATTATTTAAAATGTTCAGTTTTCAACAGAAGTTATGAGTCATGCAAAGGAATAAGAAATGTGTGGCTTATACGCAGGAAATAAAGCAAACAACAGAAACTTTGAGAAAGCCCAGGCATTGGACTTACTTGGTAAAAAATTTAAATTAGCTATTTTCATTATGTGCAAACAACTACAGGAAACCATGTGCAAAGAACTAAAGGGAAGGAGGACAGTGTCTCATCCAATAGCTAATATCAGTAAAGAGTATTTATAAAAATAACTAAATAGAAATTACAGAGTAGAAAATTATACTATCAAATTAAAAACTCAAGATTTGAGCACAGAAGATAGAATTGGTGAATTTGAAGATAAGCCAAGGGAGATTATCCAGTCTGAAGAATAGAATGAATATGAAGGAAGAAAAATCAGCAGTGCCTAAGAGACCTGTGGGACACCATCAAGCATGCCAACATTGCATAACAGGAGTCCCAGAATGAGAAGGGAAAGGGAGAAGGAATAAAATATTTAAAGAAATAAGGGCTGGAAACTTGCCAAATTTGATAAAGGATGTTCATTTACACATGCAAAAGCTCAATGAACTGCAAGTAGGATAAATTCAGTTCCACATCACCAGTGTCGTCTTAGTGCATTAGGCAGCACGTCAGTCTCACAGAGAGTTCCACATCAGGACACATTGTAGGGACACCTGGCTGGCTCAGTCGGTAGAGCATGCAACTCTGATCTTGGGGTCATGAGTTCAAGCCCCACATTGGGTGTAGAGATTACTTAAATAAAATATTTAAGAAGACCATTTTAATCAAACTTGAAAGCTGAAGATAGAGAATCTTGAAAGCAGTAAGAGAGAAACAACTCATCATATACAAGGAAACCCTGATGAAATTTAACAGTTGATTTCTCATTAAAAAACATGGAACCCAGAAGGTAGTGGGATGACATTGGAAATGTTGAAAGAAAAGATTATTAAGAGTTGAATGTCCAGAAAAATAAAGGAGAAAATGAAGACCTTTTAAGATTAGCAAAAGCTGAGAGGGTTTGTTGCTATACACTTGCCCTACAAGAAACCCTAAGGGAGTCTTTCAGGTTGAAATGAAAGGACATTAGGTAGTAAGTTGAATCCACATGAAAATAACACTAGGGAAGTAACTGTATAGGTGTATATAAAAGGCAGTATAAATATATTTATTTGTAAGTCTTTTTTTTATTTAATGATTTAAATGACAGCTGCATAAAACAATATAGCTCTCTGTTGATGCATATATAATGTATAAAACGTAATTTGTAGGTGTAGCAGCACAATTGGAGAGGGGCAGGAAATGGTGCTACATAGGAGCAAAGTTTTTGAATACTGTTGAAATTAAGTTGATATTAATCAAAACTAGATTAATCCCCAAGGCAACCATTTAAGAACTCAAAAAATATGGGAGAAGAAATGACAAGGGAATTAGTACATTAGAAATTATTCAACACAAAAGAAGACAGTAACAGAAGACTAGAAGGGAAAATGCTTAAAACCTAGAAATAAGTAGCAAGATGACATGTAAATCATGCCTTGTCATTAATCATGTGAAATGTATTAAGTGTACACTGCAATAAAAAAGAGGTTGTCAGAAGGGATAAACAATATCCAAGTTTCTGCTGTCTACAAGAGACATACTTTAGATTCAAAGACTTAGATAAGTTGAAATTTGAAGAATGCAAACAGATATACCATGCAAACAGTAACCAAAGGAAAGTTGAAATGGCCATGCTAATATCAAAGTCGACTGTAAGACAAAAAGCATTACTAGAGACAAAGAAGGCTATTTTATGATAAGTCAATCCATGAAGATCTAAAAATTATAAATACATAGGCACCTAATAACAGCAAAATACATGAAGGGTTGACAGAACCCTTCTGTCAGGGAGGGTTAAATAAAGGGAGAAATAGACAATTCAGCAATAAGAGTTGGAGACTTCAAGAAATACTTTTTTTTTAAGATTTTATTTGTCAGAGAGAGCACAAACGGGGAGTGGCAGGCAGAGGGAGAAGCAGGCTCCCCGCTGAGCAAGGAGCCCGATGTGGGACTCGATCCCAGGACCCTGGGATCATGACCTGAGCCAAAGGCAGATGCTTAACTGACTGAGCCATCCAGGCGCCCCACGAAATAGTCTTGAATTACAATTGCATGACCGAAGCTGCATGCCCTTGGCCTTGGGTCAGTTAAAGCCCCGGTCATGTACAGGGGGTCAGGACCTACTTCACGGGGGTGTCAGGAAAACTGGCACAATACCCAAGAAGCACTGATGCCTGGTGGTGGTGAGCACTTGTTCAGTGTCATCTCATCATCATCCCCATTTAACGGTGGAGGCAGTTGAGGCCTCAGTAGGCAGAGTGCATTGTCCAAGGTACTAGATGGTGAAGCCAGGAATCAAAACTAGACCTGTGGATATCATAGTACCTTCTTCTAACACCTGCCCTGTCCTGCCTGGGATCATGGGTCTGTTTTCCAGGCAGCTGTGTCTGAGACGCTGGTCATCATGTAAAGCCTCCCAGATGACCTTGGGCACACAAACATGGAAACAGTACTATCTCTGCCGATCTGAGCTGGAGTTCCGAATTGAATCTGGGCGGCCAGAGAAGGACTTCATCTGCAAAGCCATTGCTGGGCACAATGGTATGGCTGCGCGCTTTCCTGCTGCTCACTTGCCCAGGTCGAGTGCCCTGGGATTTGGTGTTTAGCCAGTGAGTGGGAAGGGGCTGCTTGATGAGGACTTGCCCTGCTGGGTTCTGTATTTGGCTATGTCACTTGGTGCTCAAAGTAGCCCTGTGAAGAAGGAATTGTTATATTTATTTCAGAGTAGAGAGAAACAGAAGGCAAGAGAGTAGGGAGTTGTTGTGGCCACGTGGCTGGTGGGAGGGGGCAGTCCTGGGTGTGAAGTCCTATGGCCACAGCTGTCCCCTAAGGAGCGCCTGTGTGCTCCCAAGAGAGAAAGAGGAAGGAGTGTCCCGCCGGTCCTTCCCCAGTCTGCATGTCCGCATCCCAGACAAACGGTGTGCATTCAAGGCCAGTCTCTGTTCTCTTCCAGGAGGCATAGACGAGCTGGCCTACATCTCAACCAACGAGTGCCGGTTTGATGGGCAGGAGAAGTCGGTGGTGTGCACCGTGTCCTCGGACAGCACAGTGCGTGCCTGGGATGTGCAGGAGGTGAGCAGAGTGGAGGGGCCAGGGTGCGACTCACGGGATCCTAGTGAGGTTCTTCCCCTTCACTAGCTCGTTCAGCCCCCGGAGGCAGCTACCGGGTGGTGGGATCCCCATGGTATAGACAAGAACTCTGAGCTGCAACAGGCCGGGTCGCACTTAGAACTCTGGTCTGATTGCAGATGGAGCCAGATCTGCCCTTGACTCTGAGCGGCCTGCCTCGGGGAGGTGGGTCCCTGCGGCAGCGGCCACACAGCAACACCTGCCCCCGGTCCCGCGGTGTCCACATTGGAGCTAGTGCCCAGTCTGGGGTGCTTTGCCCAAACAATTGCCCCTTCTAGTTACCCCCATGTACCATCTAAGTGTTGAGACTTTGATAACTGGTATTTCACACTTGGTTGTCACTATTGTTAAAAAGCTTTGCAGTCCATTTCCTCATTGATGCTCACCGCAGCGGAGCAAAGCATGCATTATTATCACCCTGATTTTATGGACGATCAGTCTGAGACAGAGAGGGAAGTGTCTCTGAGTCCTGAACCGTGTGGTTCCCTGTAGATCCAAGGGCTCTGCACACATAGAACCCAACCTCCTCTATAGGACTTTTTCCTGGAAACTACAGATTACCTCATGTTTTTGAAAGCCCTGGACAAGCAAACACACCTGTGGGTCCTTGCTACGTTAAGTGGGGAGGCTTCTCGTGTCGCCGTTGGCCAGCTCTGCTGGAAGTGCCCAGTTCGTGCAGAGAGCAGAGGGGGCTCCCCAGATTCCCCTGGCCGCTTTGAACAGGGCACCCCGGCTCTCAGCACATTGACCGAGACCTGGGCCTTCCTCACTAGTGTGCGAGGGAAGCAGGCTGCTGGGAGCTGCGTCCTGCCAGCCCCGTGCCAGCTGTGGAGTCACTGCTCTGCCCAGATGTCAGGTTTGGGTCTGGGAGAGAGCGGGTGTGTGCTCCGTTTGGTCACACGGGGACACTTGAGAGGCCACCTGAGGCCATTGCTGGGCACAGAGGTGCTGATGGAGTCTTGAAAGTCCCAGCTGGGCTGCAGCCTAGGTCGTGAGGGGCCCAGGAGCCAGGGCAGGGGCTCGGCATGGGAGGAGGGGGTGCCGGGCGGGGGCACATGAGGGGTGCACTGCGGTTAGTTACGATGTATTTTGCTTTTGAATCATGAAAGTAAAACACTGTTGAGGGTTTTGGAAAACTAGGGCTAGGAGATACTTCATGAGCGAAAAAATTCTCCCCCAGCCTGCTCTCCTCAGCAGTTCTTCCCAGAGGCGACCCCCGTTCCAGTCTTGTCCAATCTTCATCTTCCTGGCGGCTATCGATTCATCCCTTTTTACATTAGTAGAGTCTGTTCCTCCATCCGCATGCTTCAGAGAGTCTGTGTTGTCTGCCTGCTTTGCAGAAACTTCCTTTGTTACCAGGAGCCCGTTCTTATCCCCATGCTCTTTTGTTTAAAGGGTACAAAGTTGTTTGCATCATTTCTCTCTACTCTGTGGCCAAGTTTTCGGTTGTTGATGCTAGTTTCCTCTTCTCATGCTTTGTTTTCCTCCTACAAGGCAGTGTTTGAGGGTCATTTCACAGGAAGGTCTTGTTGCTGGGGTGGGATGCTGCCCGCCTTCCTGTGGCCTCTCTGTAGGACCTGCATCGGCTGCAGACACCTGGCCACATGGGCTCAGGGTGGGGGGTTGGCAGAAGAAGACATGGCGCCTGGGAGGCCCTAGAGTTGCCCAGATGATCAGGTCTCGACTTGAACGGGGAGAGCAGTTGGGTACAGGCTCGGCAGACGTTTCCCGTCAGGGGCCCTGTGGTCCCTGTGTAACCCCCCAGCTCTGTGGGCTCGATGCAGGAGCAGAAAGCAAACAGGAGAGTGGCCTGTTCTGACAGAGCTGGCAACGCACGCTGACATGTGAGGTGCACATATTTTCGTGTGTTGTGAAATCATCTTTTGATTTTTTTTTTTTTAAACCAAACTACAAATGTGGGCAGTGGGCTGGGTTTGGCTGAAGGCCGTAATTTGCTGAGCTCTACTTCCGTGTGGTCTGTTTTGCCAGGATGAGCCTCTCAGAGTCCAGAGCCACCTGCACACATCCTGCCTGGCTGCACAACCTTAGTACTCTTCACGAGCAAACCTCCCGTAGAAAACGACCCCCCTTTCCTCCTTCCACGTCCACACAGAGCAATCTTCCTGTCCCCAAATAATTATCTGTATGGTTAGTAGTACTGTAATTGTGAAAGTGTTTTTCACACTGAGCTATGAGGCAAATTAACATTTGGCTTTTCCTAAAGTTAATAAATATTCCCCTTTTTTTTTTTTAAAGATTTATTTATTCATTTTAGAGAAAGTGTGCGCATGCGAGCAGGAGGGACAGAGAGGGAGAGAATCTCAGGCAGACTACCTGCTGAGTGTGGAGCTTATTGTGGGGCTCGATCCCACGACCCATGAGATCATGACTTGAGCCAAAGCCTGGAGTCAGACACTCAACTGACTGCACCACCCAGATGCCCCAATAAATCCTCCTTTTCAAAAATGATCTTAGTTTCCACTTACAGTATTTAAGACCATGCTTTTGACTGGTTATATTTGTTTCCGGTCTGGCTTTCCATGCCACGTGTCACCCACTGTCCCTGGAGATTCTAGGGTTTGAGTTTGTCTGTTTCTGGCATCAGAGTCCTGGTGCCACCACAGCCCACTTCCTTCCTGCGCCAGGCGTGGTGCCCAGCAGTCACTGGTCAGTGTGTTTCTGTGCTCTGGTCCCTGACCTCCGCTTCCACTCCGAAACCACGAGGGAGTCTCACGCCTCCTTCACTAACTCTGGTGAATGTGCTCTGTTCCCCGAGACTCCTTGCCGTCCCTCCACATCACCTGGCTGCTCGAGCAACAGAAATCAACTGAGAAAGGATCTCATAGAGGAATCCTGAGTATCTTGGTTGGAAAAAGAGATCCAGATCATGGTAAAATGAACACATGATAGAAAAAGGGTCATAGTGACCCAGAATGGGAACGGAACGTCACAGATGGTTCTCTGGTGTCCCGCCCTCAGGTGCCCTTAGCCCACCGGCATCGGCTCTTTCCCATCTGTTCCAGTTTTTACACTCCTGGGAAAGACCATGGAATCGCCCAGCTCGGGCCTTGGCTAGGGCCTCTCCCAAGAAAAGGGGGTGTTTTAAGCAGGACAACACGGACATGCCACATGAACTGTTCTTACCCACAAGCCTGAGTTAGCTAATCTGTAAAATGGGGTTGCTGGGGCCTGAGGGAGATGCTGCACATGTAAGTTCTTTGTATGCAGCCGTGTAGCCCAGGCCCCAGCTCCCTGCCCAGCCTGCCTTGGTGGAGCTGGGGGCAACCACCGTGTGCACACTGCCCCCCCGCCCCCGCCGTGCAGTCCTGATGGTGCCAGTGCTTGGGAATTTCCGTACACCCCCAGTTCTGCCACTGCTGTGCCCCGAAACACCACTTCCGTGTCGTGCTCCACACCACACTGTGGCTCCTGTGAGCGTGGGGTGTGTGCCTTTTCCACCCCTGCGTCCCCCGTGTGCGCTAGGCGATGGTCATATATTTATGAAATGAATGGCCCCTGTATAAGTTGTTATTTTCCTTTTGTCGTTGCACAGGGCACAGAGATCTGGTCAAGCCCCCTGCAGCCTGCTGCTCTGGTGAATTTGGTGACCTACCCTCGGCTGCAGCTGGTCGTCACCGTGGACAAGCTGGGCCTGATCAAGGTGTGGAAAGCGGAGAATGGGAGGGAGTGGGCCTCCTTCTCCCTGCCTACGTACTCCTCTGCGTTGCAGGCCTGTGACCATCCAGAGGGCCCCTTCCTGCTGGTGAGTGACTGGCTCTTGGGAATCTCTGCAGGTCCTAGCTGTCTCCCAGGGTCACGGACACTCTGGTGCTGTGACCACTGTGATGGGTGGCGCCTGGAGCCGGGTGCTCCATGTGGCAGAAGAAGCCGTCATTCTGTGGCCCAGTCCCCCGGCTCCTCCTTTCCAGCTCAGCTGCCTGCAACAGCCTGTCTCCCTAGCCCTGTCACTGAGACCCAGCCACGGGCTGCCTGTGGGTTCAGTTCATGTGCCCCTGCTCTCCTGTTCCCTGAGCTTGCTGGCAACCTCCTCTCTGCAATTCCTTCTCTCGTCTGCATTCTTATCCTTCCTTACCTTGTTTCAAGTCCCAGCTAAGGCCCAACTCAGGAGAAACTGAGGCACGTTTGACAAACATGCGCACTTGCCTGGGACACCAAAAGCCTCTGTTACCAGAATGTCCATTTAGAAGTGACTCTTGGGCGTTGGGAGGGTTTGGCTGGGAGAAACGAGGAAAGTGGGTGTAAGGTGGCAGGTGTGGGAAGTGCTCTCAGCTGGAGGCAGTGTCCCCACCAGTGGGGAAGGAGGCCTTGGAAAGGCTGGGCAGGCTGGCGTCCCGGGGTTCAGGAGCAGACGTCCGTGCGCACAGAACTGACTGGAAAGGAACTGAGCTCAGCAAACAAAATGAGTAACATCTGATGAAATAGTTTTCACATAAACCACGGTGCAGCTGTTGAAGAAGACTTCTGAATAAGTGTAATTGGCATCCCCAGATCGATTTGAGAATCCATTGCGTAGATGAAGAGGCCACTGAGGTTCTTTCTGGGAGCGGTAGACTGTGTGCTTCCCTTTCTTTGTCTGCAAAGGATAGTAAAGGTAGGAGGCGCACATCTGCCGGGTAAGCTCAGAGAGGAGGAAGAACAAAGACGTCTGGACCAAGATTCAGGAGATTCAGCCGGAATCAGATGGAGTCGCCGACACTGTGGCAGCTTTGCCCTGGAGACCCTTCCCCCAAGGCAGCTGAGAGGCTGCAGGCCTTTGATGGCCCGGGGAGGAGTTGGAGTGCGGGGCCAGCTAGCGCGGAGCCCTGGGCCTCCCCTCACACTGGGCAGGGTGTCGGGGTTGCAGCCCAAACTGGGGTCCGCAGGCCCGCTTGTGCCCCACCTGCCTGCAGCCCGGCACCCCGGCCACCTGGGAGGAGGGGAGGAGAATCCTTCCTGGGAAAGCTAATGGCACCCGAGGCCGCATGTTATTTCTGCTCTGAAATGCAGTGTCCAGCACCCACTTAGAGCTAACTAGGCACGGGAGAGAGGAGAGAGGACGTGCTCAAGGTACTGCACTCCTTACACGCTGAAACCCCTGTCGTTTAGGGAGAGGGTTTCAGAACTCAAAGCTATGAAAAATGATGGAACCGATTTAGAAAAGAACCAAGTAGAAATTCCAGAATAGAAACACTGAGTACAAAGGTTAACTCGGTGGGTGGGTTTCATAGCAGGATGGACAGTGGAATCACACCGAAATGGGGGGTGGAGGGGAGCCTGTGGGGCTCTGGCAACATCCCATTTCTTAACTTGGGTGGCAAGGTGAATATTTGCTTTGTAATGATGCACTGAGCGTTGGGTTTGTGTTTTGTGCACTTTTCTGTAAGGTGTTTTCTGCGTCAGTGAAAAAGTTAAGAGGTTACCTGGAATGAAATGCAGATATTGAGTGAGGTAAATGGAAAGAGAGGGTACAAGATGTAGGCTAGTCCTTCTCAGGCTTTAATGGCATGTGGACCACTGGGGATATTGTTTAAATGTAGATTCCAATTTGTTGGGTCCCTGGGGATGCCTCGATTCTAACTTTTTTTTCTTTTGTGAGAGAGGGAGAGTACACAAGCAGGGAGGGGGGAGCGAGAATCTCAAGCAGACTCCCTGCTGAGTGTGGAGCCCGTCATGGGGCTCTGTCTCACGACCCTGAGATCGTGACCTGAGCCGAAATCAAAAGTCGGACACTTAACCGAGTGAGCCACCGAGGTGCCCCCTGGATTCTGACATTTTAGAAGCTGCCTGGTAGTATCGGTCCTGTCGGTCTTAGAGGACACTTTGAGTAGCAAGGCCATGAAGGATCCATGGAAGAATTCTAGTACTTGGTATCAGGAGCAGGTGAGGGAGTGAATGGGTCAAAAGCAACATTTGAAGAGATAATGGCAGATATTTCTCCAAAATAGACTAAGGATATTGATCCATGGAATCAAGAAGGCCTACAAGCCCCAAGTGGGATAAACAAAACTGAATCTGCATACGGGCCCATCCGAGTGAACTGAGATTACCTGAGGACCAAGAAAGCCTATCTGGTAGCAGCCAGGGTTCACAGACTCCCTTCAGGGTGTGATTTACTACGGGCAACTGTGGATCTCCAGGATCCTAGAATAGGGGTCTTGAAAGAAAGAACTGCCACCAGGAAATCCATAACAGAAAGTGACCCCCAGGAGTGAAGGGGAGTGAAGGCATCTCAGGTAACATGGAGAATTAGCAACAGCCACAGCACTCTGAGAACACGCGTGGGACACGAAGCGGAAGCCCGATGAGCAGTGCTGGGGATGAGGAGATCTGAGGGTATTGACTGTAAAACAGCAGGAACCGCGTCTTGGGGCTTTTAAACTACGCGCAGAAGAGAAACAGGGCGTTAGCATTTACGTTAGGAGAAGGTTATGAGGAACTAAACAGCCCAGCCTCCTTGAATTGTTGGGACCATTTACGTACTGATGGGCAGTGACGTCTGCAAGGAGGAACCTCTCCCCTAACTCCCAGAAGAGAAATGAAAGAGCATACAGCCTCGAAGTCCTAAGAGCAAAGGGGCAGGATCAACCCTGACCCCAAATTTGGCTTGATTATCAAGAGTGATGAAGCCACATGAGCCCTAAGAAGGCCTGAGGAGGTAATTTGTCACATACCCAGGCTTTCAGGACGGAGGCTCCCAGGAGGCGGGTCTGAACGGCCAAAGGCAGCAGGGGGAGTGAGTGGCCGGCTCTTCCTGTGGTTGGGTGGGATGGAGGGAGGGCTCCTGCGTGGGCCGGGTTTCTGTGGTTTGAATTCTCCATGGGTGGCCTTTATCCGCTTGCCCGGATGTGGAACGGAGGGTGGGATGGGCAGGCCAGAAAGCTGTCCATCACCAAACATCAAAGACAGAGTCAGACTCCAATAAGCTTCCCTTCTGGTAACTTTGCTGTAATTCTGCCTTCAGGCTGACGGCTGAAATGTGCACGTTTTATGTCCTCGAGCGCGGGCTTGTGTAAGGCAGCCAGACGTGTGGTGCTCTGGGGGCCGCCTGCTAAGGCTGGAACCTGAGGGCGAGTTCTCTTGTCTGGCTCATTCGGGAGCTCTGTGTCATGTATTCAAGAAGTAAAGTGAGTGCCCGGTCACTGTCGGTATGTGTGGGTCTCCAAAGGGGATGGGGGTATCTGATATGTGCAGAGACATGTATGATTGCCATTTGTGTCTTGGGGGTTCTGGGAGGCAAGCCTTCCTGAGTCTTCACCAAGAGGGAGAATTTGGGGTGAGAAGCTTTGTTTCTGGCTCCGTGGCTGCAGCACCGGCATTGGCCCGAGAGCGTCGGCAGGCGTCTGCTGCTGGTCCTTAGCGGGCGCTTCCAGGGCCCTTTGCACCAACTGCGGGGTCCACCCCTGAGCAGGGACGTTCCAGTTGGCGGAGGGGCCACAGCAGTGGGCTCCACTGTGTGTGATGGTACCTGTGTAGCACGGGAACTCCTTTCCTGGTTGCTCAGAGGGTGCCCTTCTCCAGCGTCCTTGCATGTGGCAAGGGTCTGAGGACAATGGGAAGCTACTTCCTCCCACAGAGGGAAAGCCCGCCCATGGCCCAAGCCTGTCTGGATTCTGAAGATGCCATTTTTATCTCAGCAGGGAGGTTTCGGTGGCTGGGCAGAGGCTGCAAGGTGCGCCTCCACATCCCGAGGCTTAATGCCTACATGGGAAGTCCGGGGGCTCAGGCTGAGCATCAACCTCATTACAAGGGCCCAGATGCGGCTGGCGTCCTTCACCCTAGTGGAGTGTTATGTGACCAGAGGACAGCAGGTTTTGCCAGAGGCACTCATTTTCTTGGTGTTGCCCTGTAGGGGGATGGAGCAGGATCAACCCCCTACCAAGATTGAACTCAGGTTTGGAGATTACTAGCTCTGTATGTACATCAGTAGGGTATGGAATAGGATATCCTCTCCGCCCCCTCCCCCCTGCCAGTTCACATCTACCCAGAGCCTCAGAATGTGACCTTATTTAGAAATGGTATCCGGTTAAGGATCTCAGGTAAAATCATCCTGGATTTAGACTGGGCCCTCTGTCCAATGAGTAGTGTCCTCATAAGAGGAGGAGAAAACACAGATATACAGAGAAGGCCAGGTGCACACAGGGGCAGACAAGTCAAGGAAAGCTTTAGAGCCTTCAGAGGGAGAGGGCCCTGCTGGCACCTGATTTTGGGCTTCTAGCCTCTGAAATTGTGAGAGAATAAATTTTAAGTTTTTTAAGCCACCCAATTTGTTACTGCAGCCCTAAAAATTAAGACCCTAAAACAGAACACTTGGGGCACCTGGCTGGTTTAGTGGGTAGAGTGTGCAACTCTTGATCTGAGGGTTGTAGGTTCGAGCCCCACATTGGGTGTAGAGATTACTTAAAAATAAAATCTTAAAAAAAAAAACAAACCCAGAACACTTAAGGAAGTTTGGAATGAAAAGGAGGGAAAATGATGCCCTGGAGATGCTAACTAAAAGCAAACTGATAAGCTATTAACGTTAAGACCAGAAGACTTTGAGATGAAAGTCATCACTAGATATTAGGGGGGAACTTTGTAATAATAATTAGATTAGCCTCCAAGGAAGATAGAGCAAGGCTAAAATTGGCCTAAACACATATAGAACAAAATTTGTGGAATTTCAAGGAGAAATGGTCAAATCTACAAGCATTATGAGAAGTTTGTTACACAGTTAAAAGGAAATGATCTGGGTGGACACACTGTGAGTGCTTTGAAGGCAGTGAG